CGTGTAGCTTTGCGCGAAATTCAAAAACAAACAAACAGCCCATTAATTGTCTCGTATCATATCCATAACAGTCTGTGAAAACGATTTACATGGGTCATTTATTACATGGGTCAGTTTAATTTTCATGGTAACGTTATATCATGATTATAAATTAAATGGGCATTTCAGATGTATCATGTGCAGTGACACTAACATAAAAAAAGACCCTAGCATACAGCGATAAGATCAATATTTTTTTCTTAAGGCATTTGCTCTTTTGCGAAGTCGTCTATGTGTGATATTCAGTTTTCATACGCAATTAAACCCTAGTAATACGATAGATAGGTATTCAAAGGAAATAGGGAGACCGAAAATAATGTTCCTTGTTGTGTTTTTTTAATTTTCTATAAAAACATATTTGCTTTCTTTGCGTAGGGTATGTTCTGAATTAATATGATATAGTTTGTTTATTTGTTTGAAGTTAAGCACAAAGCAACACAATGTGCTATCTGTGCTCTGCCTACCACGGGTATCGAAACCCGGATTCTAGCGTTGTAATATGATATACAATAACAGGCAACGTTTCTGAGAGTTCATCAAACTCACATGCATCCTTAAAATGAACTATTTGAGTTTCAACTATATAGATATTGAGTTTTAAAAATATAGATATAACAGTTATAATCACATTCTCCACTGTTGAGCGTTACGCTCTCTAGTAGGTTCGCGCTATAATTGGATGGATAAAACAGCACATAAGATCTGTTTCAACTTGTCGGAAATTTTAATCTTTACTAATTACTAAAATCATTGCCGTGTCTCTCTCTTCTTTTTTTTAGATCCGTGTTTATTGTCTGGTTTATTGACCCGTGTTTATTGTTACAGTGACAACAAGTTCAAACCTTTGTGATTGGTGAAGTATATCGAACAAATTAAACGTAGTTCTTTTAAAAATAAATGACATTAACTGCTTCTCAATTAACTACTGTCAATAATGAATGGGTTAAGAAAAACAAAAACGAGCAACTGAGGGGAGGGGGCACGTTAAACACACAAATATTACACACACACATATATATATAAATGTAAACCATATTAACACATTTGCATAGAAATGTACAGTTTTACACTCACGAAAAATGGCCGAGTTCGTATGCATACAATTACTGGGGGGGGGGGCGAAAGCTTGTCTCTGAGAAGCTTTAAGCTAGTTAGCTAGTTTTTAGTTTATTTGTTGTTAAGCACAAAGTTACACAATGGACTATCTGTGCTATGACCATCACGAGTATCGAAACCCGGTTTATAGCGTTGTAAGCCTTCAAGCTTGCCGCTGAGCCACTGGAGGATTATAAGTTCATTTCAGATGGTAAGTTCTGGTGTAGGGCGCTTAAGCTGAAATATTGTTACACACTTCTAAGTTCTGGTGTAGGGCGCTTTAGCTGAAATATTTTTTTACACACTTCTAAGTTCTGGTGTATGGCGCTTTAGCTGAAATATTGTTACACAATTCTAAGTTCTGGTGTAGGGCGCTTTAGCTGAAATACTGTTACACACTTCTAAGTTCTGGTGTAGGGCGCTTTAGCTGACATATTTTTTTACACACTTCTAAGTTCTGGTATAGGGCGCTTTAGCTGAAATATTGTTACACAATTCTAAGTTCTGGTGTAGGGCGCCTTAGCTGAAATATTGTTACACATTTCTCTTACTGGAATTCGTATTGAACGCCCCCTAGTGCCTGCGGACTTATACCGCTAGAAACCGAGTTTCGATACCCGTGGTGGGCAGAGCATAGATAGCCCTTTGCATAACATTGTGCTTAATAACAAATAAGAATTACATTGATAGAATAAAGAATGGTGTGGTTTAGTATATCATCAATCGTCTTCATTGATACATGTGTTAATAATAAACGCGTTAAATAACGTTTCTTATTTTGTTTCATCGTCAGGTGGTGAAGATGCTGGCTGTGGTTGTAGCCGTATTCGCCACCCTTTGGATGCCGTATCGTGTGCCTTTTAGTGTACAACTCATTGACAAAAGAACGCTACATGGAACTGTGGTTTCTGATGTTTTGTAAGACCATGATTTTCATCAACAGCGCCATAAACCCGATCCTTTACAACGCCATGTCAATCAAATTTCGGCGTGCGTTCAAACGCGTGTTGTCGTGTAGTAGAGCCTCTGAAGAGGCGAGTTTTGCTCCTTTTCGGAGTGTGGCTGTTACGAATCATCCGAAGATTATCCAGAAGACTACTGAAGCATGAATTAAGATTATCATTTTTTTGTGTCCTAATGATACTCCTACTGGATATTAATTGAACTTTTTTGTTGCTAATTTTCCGAATTAATATATGGATATTTTTCCGTACCGTTTGTGTAATTCCTTCATGGTGTCTTTTTTTTTCATATATGTGTATATTGAAGTGTCATTGCAACAGAAAACCACACGATATTGATGTACAACTTTCATTGGTGTAGAAGTGAATAAAATAAAATTCGACAACTAAATGAAACGTCTCAATAAGATTTTTCACCACAAGACAGTCTTATATCTTAATGTTCTATATATTAATTTTTTCAGTGAAGTTTTTCTGAAGAAAGAAAAAAAACTCATAAGGTTCATAAAAAATAATTTACCAAACTTTTTGATGCATTATAGGTAGGTTGGTCACCAGAGGGCGTTTAAGGTAATCAAGATTATATAAAATGCGAACATAGAGAATTGGTTTTATTTGTAAAGCATATGTAGGAAGTGCTGATAAAAGATTCTTAATACTTAAAAGTACAGCGCAGTCGCAGTGAAGTTTGAATGATTTTATAGCTATCAAATATATTCGTTACTTCTATTATACCATGGCAAATTTATTCGTCTTTTTTAAATTTCGACTTCCAGGATTTTTGACGCTCTATTAATAGGTTTTAGTTTAAGTGAAAAGCTACGCTAGGGGTTATCTGCGTTGTGTATATATCTGGTATCGAATCCCGAGCTTTAGCGTTACCGCTGAACTAGACAACAATCGCTTGACCATCTATTAGCTGGTAGTGAAAGTAAAGAAAAAAAAAAATCACAACAGTAAAACTTGACCGTTGTCTCTATTAAGTTTACGAGAAGATAATACTAAAATTTTCATTGAATAATTATAAAATAAATTTTAGTGTTTAAGCCATTTACTTTCCACTGTAAAAAAATTCACTGTTAAATTACGGTAAAAAAACGAGCTGAAAGACCTTTTACCGTACAATTCACCGTTAAATTACGGTAAAAAAACGAGCTGAAAGACCTTTACCGTACAATTCACCGTTAAATTACGGTAAAAAACGAGCTGAGAGACCTTTACCGTACAATTCACCGTACAATTTTACAGGAATTTTCTTTAAGATAACTGTTCTAGTCTGTATTTTGAGTACTTTTTACTGTTCTTCTACAATGAAATATCCTTAAGTTAACGGTTATTCCACGTAAAATAATAGTTTTACCATGTATTTCAAGTGTTTCTCACTGTCATTCGACATAGAAATACTTTTGAATTAATGTTTAATCTGCATAAAATATGTTTTTATGCATGTATTTCTAGTATTTTTTTCAAAGTCAGTCCAGAAAAACATATTTTAAAGTTAATGGTTAATCCACATAATACAGTGGTTTTATTATATATATTTCAAGGTTTTCTTTCTTTACTTTACACAGTAATACTTTAAATGGTTTACCCACATAAAACACCTTTATTTGTTGGTTGTCTCTGTATTGACAGAATACTTTTTATGATGTTTATAAACATGTTTTGTATTCAGCGAATTTCCTCTTGCAAACTGACAAATCACATAAAAAGTTGCATGTTATTCACTTTTGTAAAATGTACAGTGATCTACGTAAGGCTTGGAAAGATGTATTACAATATTTACATGTAGAAATCTTGAATTGTCTATGCCTAGTTTTTAATTGGGACCAGTCTCAGCATAGAAAGAGTTAATTCTAAAACTGACAGTGCTGCATCAGTTTCTTTAGTCTAGTGGTCTCCAACCCTGGTCTTGGAGACCCGCAATCCAGTTTGTGTTATAAGTCAAAATCAACCTAATCCAGTTTGTGTTATAAGTCAAAATCCATACAATCCAGTTTATGTTATAAGTCAAAATCAACCCAATCCAGTTTCTGTTATAAGTCAAAATCAACACAATCCAGTTTCTGTTATAAGTCAAAATCAACACAATCCAGTTTCTGTTATAAGTTAAAATCAACACAATCCAGTTTGTGTTATAAGTCAAAATCAACACAATCCAGTTTCTGTTATAAGTCAAAATCAATACAATACAGTTTGTGTTATAAGTCAAAATCAACATAATCCAGTTTGTGTTATAATTCAAAATCAACACAATCCAGTTTGTGTTATAATTCCAAATCAACACAATCCAGTTTGTGTTATAAGTCAAAATCAACAACTAACATGTGCTAGATAAACGTACTTCTTCAAACATGTAAGTCACCCAGTGGTTCAGCGGTAAGTCTAAAGGCTTGTAACCCTAAAAACAGGTTAAAAATATGGGAAAAAGACAAAACATTAAATACTCTTATTTCATAGCTTATATATGTAATCTAAAGACCATTCGACTATTTCCTCCATTCAAATACAAGTAAAAAATTCGAAAGATTCTTGCTATGCTACAAGCACATCCTTCCGATACATAAGCGAATCATCCCGAATGAAATTATAACATTAAAAAAACAAAACTAAAGCGTTAAGAAATACTTGCTCTTGAAAAACAACAAAGGCATTTCTTCGAGTACCGTAAAAAACATCAATTTATAATTTTAAAATGAAAAGCACACCTGCCCTGACCTAAGGCTTAACTTGTGATACATAGGTCCAGTAATAACAATGAAATTAATACTAATAATTAATTAATTAAGTTACCTAAAACTAAAAAAAACAACAAAAAAACATCTGAAAAAAAAATTCGTCCAGAGCAGTGTTACCCAAACCCTAAATTACTTTGGCTCTTTCTGTCTTTCACTTTTTTTATGGGCATTAACGTGTCTACTCTAACGTCTTCCCAATACAAAATGGCCTCCAGGCACGTTTTCTGCAGCAGCATTTGTTAGGCTTAAGCAGATTGTTACTCTAGTGGATCGGAAGTCGAAAGTAGTTCCATCCTTATTTGCTAGCCCCCCCCCCGGTACAGCGGTATATTTGCGGACTTACACCGCTAAAAACCAGGTTTCGATACCCGTGGTGGACAGTGCACAGATAGTCCCTTGGATAGCTTTGTGCTTAAATTCAAACAAACCTTATTTTCTAAGTTGTTTCTGAGGCCCAAAAAATAGAACAAAAACACATAAACAGTTTTTACTTTAAAAG